CATGGCTTCAACAAGAATTATAATTTGCTTGATTTGTCTATTCCATATTGGTAATCTATTCCTACATGTATGTTAGGTTAACATATACAGTTACACAGTTGTGTATAAAGAGACAATATACTAACAGGCAAGGTAGGCTTTCCGATATGGAATCTTTGGTTACAAGTGATTACTGTCCTGGTTTGTGTCCAGTTATATAATCAGTAAGTTCAACTGAGCACAACAGTGTCTCGATATATGTATGGCCTGTGCCCATACATTTTAGCATTAAGTCCACATAGTCGTTGCTGTCAACGTTGTTGCTACATCCGCTCTCGGCATTTGCAGAGCATCGTGGCACCTGACACCGGCGCGATTGCACTTGCCACGCTTCTTGTGCATGACTTGAGGCAGCTGCAGCTGCAGCAGAAGGGTGCATTCTTCTGAAGCATTACGGAGTGTAGTCCATAGCGGCTGCCAGGCACCCGTACCATCTTTTTGCCGCACCCACTCACTGAAGTCGGGAATTCGTTGCTGCACTGTGGTAGACAGATTCCAGTAGAAGCTGGCCTGAAGTAGCGCTCGCTTGACATGCTGGAACAGTGCTGCTTGTGTAGGTGGGAGGTTCTTCAACATTCTGCTTCCAGTGGTGAATAGGCGATGCCGGGCCTCGTTGACACCATCTGCACCACATCCCTTGCTGTACATGAGAACGACTAGGCATTCGATCCACTGCATATGTATCGACTCGAGAGTGAAGACATCAGGGTTTCGCGTGAGGGTCACCAATGTGTCGGTTAACTCTGGTAAGCTGGCCCATGCTGCCCAGGCAGTCTTCTTTTCACAACAAAAAAACTGTGATGTTGTATCGCACGACCGGTTAGGCTGTGGAAGAGGGGTAGTGCGAAGGATTTTGAAGAACCAAGCTTGGTAAAGATGCCATGGACGGGAATGTCACGGGTAATTTGCCGCTACGCGAGGCCTACCCAGAGCTCCGATAGGCCGAGATTCTTAAAAAATCGGACTGCCAAAACAACAACATCGCTATCCACGGTTCGGATATAGGCTATTTTGTATCCATCTTCACCAAGCTTGGTCCTTCAATTCTAATCATAGCCACAGAAACCAGATGAGACGGGATACTAGAGAAGCGTTGCCGAAAGGAGATGTTGATCCCAATTGCGGCTGAAGCGCAGATCTTTCGCAGCAGTTCCGCGGCAAGGCGCACGCGATCGCGCGGAACGTCCTACGACAGTATGCAGCGCTGGCAGCTATGGATCCGTGCGCCGAATGAATTGGCGGGCGCACGGATCCATAGCTGCCAGCGAACAGTCCGCAATTTTAGTGGGGGACACAGAGGGTACACATTTGGGACGTCAACAGTGTTGACTTGCTATAAAAAGTGTAACCGAGTAATCTGTTCGTAACCGAGCTGTGTGACGCGAAATCAGAGAAAACTGCTCGAAATTCTGACATTCGCGAACCTTGCCCAGTAATGCAAACGGCTGTCAGAATCACGAAACACCTTACCGGCGCTCTTCGCGCCCCAACGCTGCAACGTTTTTGCAACGTTCCAATGGCGAGCTCGTACGGGAGTTGGAAAGCAGTGCGCCGCCTGCCGCCGCCTATAGCCCATAGACTGGCACTCTCTCGCACCTCTCGGCTTAGCTTAGTCACTCAATGGCTAATCGAGGTGGGAGCGAGTCCTAGTCTATGTATAGCCTTTGCACCTCGCAACCTTCTTGAAAGAGAGTAGGCCTATACTAGAAACATGAACAATTTCGTAGTAAATAGATTTCGTATTTAGTTAAGCATTATATTTTATTGAAACGCTTCAAGTGCCTGTGTCTAGTATAGCCTAGGGGTATTCTAACCCTAGCAAAGAGCGTTTCTTGCTAGTCGTATAGTAGTCTAGTAGTACTAGTGGTTCAAGGATAGAGAACATGGCTCCCAATATTATATGGGCCCAATGTATGGCATGGCCAATAAAACCAATGTCATTTACATCAATCTAAATATAATATTATATCAATATAATAGGTTAGGGTTATGGTTTAGGGTTTGTCATAGCTCTAGTACTATAGCCGCTTACATTAACTGCCGCTGGCAGACGACCGCTTCGACCGCCAGATAACCGCCAGCGGCAGTTAATGTAAGTGGCTATAGTACTAGAGCTAGGTTCGTCATTATTACTATTAGTAAGTTAGTTAATACTAGTAACAGAGTTAGTCATTATTACTATTACTATTAGCTCCTGCGGTCCTGGTAGTTACTAGTACTAGTACTAGTAGTGCTGGTAACTTAGTAGTACTACTACTACTAAGTACTAGTAGTAGTAGTAGTAGTGCGGTCGGGTAACAACGCATCTTTTTGCGCAAACGCCATCTTGTACACGCGTATCGGTCAGTGCGCCCTAGTGGCTCAGTCTAAACGAACTTGATGCATCAGTGATGTGCATGTACGTGCGGGCTTGAATCTTCCTGCCACAGTGGCTGGTAATATGCAAAAAAAAGCGCAAACAACGGGCTTAGAGTCTGAGAGGAGATGCGAGCGCGGGGTCAACAGCTGCTTCATAAGGAGAAGGAGGATGGCTACGATAATAAAACGCGACGTCAACGATTCAGCCTGCCGTGTCCAATTGACTGTACGGAGAACGTTCATTACGCAAAGTATCTCTCGCATACACTAAAGTTATAGTAACTCGAGCGTACAAACTCTCTCACGGGCGGCAGTTCTTTAAAGCCTGAATTCTTGAGTTGAGCGCACGACGCGATCGTACTCTCATATGAAAAGGCCCAGGCCCTTATTGAAGGCAGCTGTTAAAACGGCACGGTTTGGGCACTATAACAAAAAAAGCGGCAGATATAGTAAGATTATATTGCGCGTGTAACAAGCAATGAGACGCTTACACATTGTGTGCCAGTATTGAGACGTATTTTTCTTTTGTGAGCATGTCGAAAGACGTGAAATTGAATGTAGTACACAGTTACGTCAAAAGAATTGTAACGACTAATACTTACTATATTATATTACGAGACTATTAGGTATTACGAAACTATTTCCAACGCTCGCCTCCCCCTATGCAAAGGAAATCTGCACGCCAGTACAACGGCCTGCGCATCATATATGGATGGATAAACATCCATGGGTATGTATGATTGGAAAGAAGATGTTGCTCTACGCTGTAATGCTCTGCCCTGGCGCTATATATACATGTTGTAGATAATGACGTCCATGATCCCAAACATCACACCATGCTGGCGTGTTCTAACAGAATAGGGCTGGTGGATTTGCACATAACGTCTACCGGCACATGAATTCTGCAGCTGTAAACACCAGAAATCTGTCAGCCTGCCGTGTCCAATTGACTGGTACGCACGTCATTACGCCAAGTATCTCCGCGTAACCACTAAAGTTATAGTAACATCGAAGGTTACAGAACTCCACGGCGGGCAGTCTAAAGCTAATTGCCCTTCTCTTCTGTGGCAAATTCTCTCGAAACATCCCTCCAAGAGACCGTCGCCCCATCTATGGGTAAGCGATAGTACGAGAATAATTCAAGGCGTGTAATTAAACAAATTCAAACTCGTTTTTGTACAAAAGAACTAACCGCGCCAACCAAAACAATTCCAATTACGACCATTGCGAGTTATTCTCGCCGCTACGTGCATAATCCAAAAGTTTGTCAAGCGCCACAACTCCTGAATTGGACCGATTAACACCCGATTTTACATAACCATGAAATGCGTTTTGAAATGGGGTAGCACGAGTTATATGAAATGTGCGACACAAGGTGGCGCGAGCGAGCGGCTTCGCGGCGGATATCTGCTTCGGAAGCTCCAGCATCTATGAACATACAAAGTACCGTAAATCAAGCTATTACACGACTAGATAACATTACACTAACGATCACGCTATTAACGCTACACCTAATCATATCACCTAACAATTTATTACCTTTAATTATTCTCCCATATCGCAAACAAAATGCGATTACTCCCCGCGTAACGCGACGACACCAGACCTTGCTTTGCCTTTGTTCTAAAGAAAGAAATGCTTGCTTTATTGAAATCAACAGCCAACGCCTCTATCGGAGAAAATCCTAATGGAAATCTCAACTACTATCCATAGAGGTTTTGATTGTTACATTCCCACCGCCAATAGGAAATCTCATTAAACCTTAATATAAGTACAAAACCTCAAATATAACCATATGCCAAAACCTATTATACATTGGCGCTACAAACTATAGAGGTGGGCACTCACTTCCCGCCTTATTGCCCACATACTACTGAACTGATGTTATTTACTCAGGTTTAATCCAACTTCACCACCGGTCGCCTATATAGTTTCTGGTTGACCTTAACCTCAGCCCGTCTCACTCTGCCATCTTCTACTTGGATGAGCATCGTCATATCTCGCCCCCACCGACCATTCACTCGCTGTTGCATGATTATCAATCACTAACACCTGGTCACCCTTTCTCAGGTTCTCTGTTGCCGTTAGTCACTTCTTCTGATTTGCTGCGCTAGGCAAATATTCTGACACGAATCTTTCCAAAAAAATCTACGATCAACTCGAACA